GCCAAGGAAGGGTTGTCACTAAATGATATAGAAAATTTAGAATACAGCAGTCAGGAATTCACAAGCATAGCTAAAGATAAAATTAAAAATGCATGGAAAACCCGTCTAAAACAAGAGAATACTCATCGCTATCAAATTGATAGCAATCTTGTAGACAAGGTTTACATCAATCATCCCTCAATTAAAATATGCAAACTCATCACGAGGCTTAAAACGATAAACGTAATAAAAGACTTCACCTTTACACCAATTAAATGCCCATGTGGACAAATTGCGACCACGTCACACCTGCTAATCAACTGTCATCAATTAAACAAAGAACGTCAATCCGTAATTAAGAATCTAGCAGAGAGGGGAAACACCCTCTGTCTCAAATCTCTCCTTTCTCCACAACCTGACGATAGATACTGGACATCACAACTTGTCTGTAATTTTATTGAGAATATAGGCATGACCAAATATATAAAATAATAAAATTAATCAATTAAACAGTAGGACGGAACGTAAAAATGTCCTCTAGAAGGAAGCGTAAACCGCCCTACACTACTAATAAAACTCCGATAAAATTAATAAATCAATTTATACAATGTAGGATGAAGCGAAAAAACGTCCCCTAGAGGGAATCGCCACCTGTCCTACACCACAAATAAAACTATTAATTAATAAATCAGGGTGATAGTGCAAAAATGTCCCCATAAGAGGGAAACGCTACACACCCTGAAATATTCTTTACACTTTTATTTATTTGACTAAATAAGTATTAATTGTAGATCATATTAAGCCACCATATATGTATTATTGTATTTATTAACTCCTAATAAATTTTTGAATGTATATCATACTAACTTGCCATAAATGCATTTTTTTCCTCCAACCCCAGCCCCCCCCCCCCCCCGAAGCCTTACTAGACGAAATAAAAACAAAACCATCACAAGACCAGCTACTCTTTTTTCTCTAGCTTTCTCTTTTCAGGCGCTGGATTCTTCCTTCAGAGAACCAACAACAAAGGAATGAACAACAGAAATAATGACGAAATCAACCACCATACCGGACAACAAAACCAAATGGAAGGAAGAATGGTCCAGGCCTTACACTCACCAACAAGCCCCAAGGAAGAGTTGCACCGCCCTGCCATTCAACCGGACAAATCGACCAGACCGACGAAAATGACCTAAATATATATATATATATATATATATGTACATACTATGTCTAAATGTTTGTCTCTGTCCAAATGTTCGTCCACATTCATGTCTGTTTTGTTACAAATTCGTCTGTTTTGTAAACGTCCACTTGCACCTTTTTTTTCTTGTATACATAACATGTATACATTTTACGTCTGCTTCCACCGAGGTGATGTCGCAGACAATAACATGTTATTGTCTGCGACATCACCTCGGTGGAAGCAGACGTAAAATACAACTAACTAACATCAACAACTCGTGTCTGAAGAACATCATACAAGATAAAACGAGTGCCGTGGTTTCTATCCAAGGATTGTAGCAACAACCTAACCTCGGGTTTGATGTACATCATACTTACTGGACTCTAACCAAGTCAAGATCTTCGTCGGGTAGATATCGTGTTAGTCCCAAAATTATCTGTCTTATTATTTTATACTGTAACGTTGAAACAACAACAATATATTTATGACGTCACTGCCAGGACAATAGAAGGCTTGATCTCGCTTTAACTACGTACATCTTATCAAGGCCTTCACGTAATACCCCGCATATTGCGGCACTAATTTCGATTGGGTACAAGCCCAACTTATGAGCCTATCAGATTCCTCGATCGTCGCGAATACCAAGTCTCGCGCTTTCAAGCTAAAATGTCTACCTTATGAGCCTATCAGATTCCTCGATCGTCGCGAATACCAAGTCTCGCGCTTTCAAGCTAAAATGTCTACCTGTCTACATACTGCTCACGTGTATGTAGATAACATAGCTATAAGTTCGGGAATTGTGAAGTAAACAAGCAACGGCGAGATGTTGTGAAACTCGCAGTCGTTGCTTCAGGAACATGTGTATAGGGAGAGTTACGACAACTCATTTCCAGGCGACATTTTGGGTCCCAATTATGACGCCATAAAAACTATGACGTCATGGCGTCTTATAGCTTTACTTAAAGATACATTGTGGGAGATTAGATAACGAGTTGGCAGTTCTCACTATAATAGTTAAAAACTAGATAATGTAAAGGGCAATTTGCTGAAAATATCATTCAAATCGATCCACTATGAACTAGCCTCGATCATCATTACTAAAGTCGGTACGACAAAAATCCTAGTCTCGATTATCTATAATTTAATCATTAAATCGTGAAGGAAAGTTATGCAGTAAATCGGATCATAATCCACTAGAGATCACAGGCTAGCGATGCCATCGAGAGTTGATTATGGTCTGGATAAGTTAATGAATGTCTAATTAATAATTTAGATAACATTTCAGGCCTAAAAAAAGACCTGCAATAGGCAGATTTAGCTCTTGCATAATGTATGTTTAACAAAACATTTTATTTTTTTCTTGGTTTAACGTTTTACGGGTCCTAAACAAATTGCAAAAGAAACCAATGCAGTTTGGTTCAATGATAAATATGTCAGACAAAATCATATTCAATATCGGCCAAGGCAAAATGACATGATTAACAGAATTCAATTTGGCGATGTCTCGTAATCAGTGTCTTTCAGTGGTGGGAGGATAAATATTTATTTTTAAATTCCTCAAACACAGAGTGGTTATGCCAGCGAAGTGTGTCAAAAAATCGAATTTGACAATTATCAATTAAAAAAATGTATTTGTCATTTGGTGGCGGGCATTCCTTTCAAAATGACTGCCAAATTTGGTAATATAATACCATTTAAAAAGGAAAAACAATGGAAAAAAAAGAAACAACATTAATTTTGTAATAAAAGGGCAGCGATAATCTCAAAAATTTAATTTCCAAAATGGTGGAATTTTAATCAAATGTCATTTCCTTCCGTTGGGTATGACTTGTAATATGTGGTATATTAATCCCGAAATGACATACTTGCTCTTAAATGAATATATTGTTAACGCTCTTTAAACATCTAGATGCAATAGACTGGTTTAGACAATTTTAGCTATATTGAAATGTTGGCAATTAAGATCCAATTATAGTTTTTAGTTACACACTGTTAATCACCTATAGAGTTTAATATACATTATTCAGCTCGACGCAAGACTTAACATGAATAGGTGCAGTTCGTTTAAACTTGAATGTAGATATTATAGTTCTATATAGGATCTTTCGGTTGAATCATATCATAGAAATATCTTATTTCATAGCTTTACGTATTTGTCGACATTGAGGTGTACTTGTTCTATTGTTCCATTTAGCCTATGAATTTTCTTGTTTCACTTGACTGAACAAAACATTTTGTAGGAATGCAGGCTTTTATAGATTGAACAAAAAGTTGATAAATGTTGAGATGTGTGGAACATGCTCGAGACGATTTGTAACAAACCTCAGACACGATATATATTTGATACTTGTTGAACATCAGAACAACATGATTATTTCATTGGAAATGGGGCGCAAATACCCAAAGGAGTCGGCCCCCTTCAATGTCTGTCTACCTGTGGAATAACATGTACATTATTTGTATCTGTTAAAATTTGTGCGGTTTATATATTTAGATTAATATTATTATTTACGCATGGGCGGGGAGTGATAACGTCTTACCCCAAACAAATAGCAAAAGAAACCAGCAAGTTTCGAAGAGCTATATCTCGTATCACAAGTCACTTATGAAACATAATATGCCCGAAACACATGTCACGCTAGACAGCTTTTATTTGGATTACACCGATTTTACACTGATTATAAGCTACGCTGATTTTAAATGTTTTTAAATGTATTATCCATTAGTCAATTTAAAGAAATTTCTATTTTCGAAAAATTGATGATACAATTAATGATCGATGACCGAAAACTGACACACAATCCGAATGGCTCCAGACCAAACAATCATGGAATTTCAGGCATTTATTTTGCCGGCTAGAAGGCAAAAAGGTTTTATCTCCCAAATTATTTAAATTTTCATTTTTCACTTTACCCGTCTGCACAAAAAATCTGATTTTTTAAAAGCGTATGCAAGTTAAATATATTTAATAGCGCTTTTATCTGGTTGATCTTTCATTTCATTTTCTTATGAATTAGACTATATTATTATAACAATAATGTGCGCTTTTTGTTGTATAATAATAAAAATAGTTTGTTCAGCTATAATTTTCGTTTAAAAAATGTATGTTTTATCTATTTTTCGCGGAATTCTATGACATATATATCCACATCCATGTCGGGGCAGGCAACTTCGACACAACAGTATGATAGAACATAAAATAGATAGTGAGTAGGTACAATTACTTGGGACCCAAGATGGCGTCTTTGTACACTTGACGTCATATTTTCATGACGTCAAATGAAATTTCTGGCTTCACAGTAGTCGCAACTTTATCTATTATACAGCATTGGGAGGGGTTAACGTCCACTCAAGTTAGGTCATTTCGAGACTAAATTTGTAAATTCCTTTGAAGTGGGAAGCTGCATTACATCTATGGTAATCCGAAAAAACGTTTGTATTATAGTGGGGGAGCCACGGTGGCTAAGTGGGTAAGACGCTGGCTCGCTAGCCTGGAAGTCGTGTGTTCGATCTCTACATTGGCCGAGAAAGTCTATCGTGATTTTCCGGCGTGGTTTCCTCCTTATCACTGGTGCAGGACGGATAGGACGAAAAACCTAGGACTCGTGTATACATTGGCGTGCACGTGAAATATACTCTGGCAGTTGGAATTCGATAAAGAGTAGTCCACAGTGCCTCATAGCACACTGTATGGCGCATGCTTGTCTTCAATAGCCCAGTCGGAGCAGAGCAGTAGGACGTTAAACCCCATTTCATTTCATTTCACTTCGTATTATAGTGAGTACATATCCTAAAGGAATTCGGACTTAAAACTGAATATTTTATACATGGGTTTATTTTAAAACATTTATTTTGAAGATGACACACAGCACGTGTAAGCTTGAACAGCTACATTGAAAGGTTTACTTTATACAGGTAAGGAAGTCATCATCACAGCGAAATCCTTTCGGACAACATCTACCTCCACCTTTACAACACACCGCCTGCAAGATAAACAAATTAATATAATAACACAAAATGGAAGTTGGATGGTCATATTCACCGACAAGGAGGACCGACACCACTGCTTACGGATTTAAACATAGAAAAACGACACAAAACGTAAGTTCAAATTGTGCATCTACACCCACCAGTGATTCTCAACCAGTGTGCAGGCGTGTCGCGAGATCTTCCTAAGTGTGCCGCGAAATTTTGAACGGCACACTAAGTAAATTTCTCACTAAAGAAGCCAGCTATTTGACGGATAAAATTCGAAACACTGCAATAAAGTAAGTTTATAGTTGTGCTTTTCTTTATTTAGTTTGAGTCATTTATGACTAGTTTGTGTCTACGGTTGTATTTCGTCTATGGTTTGCTATGTTTTTATTTTGCTAAATAAAATATTCGTCATATATTTTAGCCAGGTGTGCTGCTACTTTTTCATGTGTTCGAAGGTGTGCCGTTGGCAAATAAAGGTTGAGTACAACTGACCCACATTGATAACTTCAGTAGGATCTGCCTAGTCTAGTCTGTAAATGGAATGGGATTTAATATCCGACTTTTCTTCATCAGTCGATCTAATGGCTGGCATACACCACGCAGTGTCCTCAGAAGTTGTGACTGGACACCGGTGTTACCCCCAATTCTTTCTAGCGTTCGTTTAAGGCATATAAGTTTAGACCCCTATTTGGATTCCTTTTTGACACAGTTAAGTAAGTCTAGAAAATCCCAAGGATGTTTTTGACGTTAAATTATCCATCACAAAATGTTTTCAAATCCAGTAAATATCGCAGGCTAACGATGAGAGTTTATTATGGTCTGGATAAGTTAATTAATGTTTATTTAATAGTTTATATAACATTTCAGACATAAAGAAAGACCTACAATAGGCAGATTTAGCTCTTGCATATTGTATGTTTAACCAACACAATTCTCCCATAGCCGCCGTAGATCCCACCCTCTCTTTGTAATAACTACTCACTTACTTGGGTTGTTTACACAACTGAGTGGTGCATGTTTATATATTAGTATCTCGTTATATACTTACATTAGGTTCAGGACAACACGACACGCCCCCACGTGGATAATGACAGCATGTATTCCCGTCAGGACACGTCACCGTTCTATTAGTACATATCACTTCCGTCTTGGTACCGACAATGAAGAGGCAAGCATACAGTAGCAGGATCTGAAGAAATTAATATATATTTTGGTATTAGACACAACAGTTCGATTTTATTGGGCTCAAAAGTTACCAAATTCTTTATTTACTCCCGATTGATTCATTAAAACCAAACAGTAAAAACTCAGTATACAGGTGGATAAATCTATTTGTTAAGGCCAGCTCAATTTTTGTCCTGTCGCTGAGATGTAAATAAGATTAGGGCACGTGATTGTTGGCGAGATATATAGCACTGGAGCTAGATCAAGGGTTTGGGTTAGGGTTGGGATTAGCAAAGCTAGCCCTGTTTACATTTTTTATAAAAAAAAATTAAAAAAATGTAATGTTTACATCTCCTGACCTATGACGAAACATTGAGTTGGCCTTATCATTTAGCATTAACCGTATACAGGTTTGATTCAGAATATCGTCAAGACTAAATGACAGCAAACAATATCTTGAACCATGTAGGGAAAGCAATGACCCGGAAAGCCCTGATCCAGGAATACGACTATAGAAGAGCATGAAGTAAGGGAGACAACTGTCGTTGAAACGAAGATATTGGGAGTCAGACCGACATTCACTTCTTCATTGACGTTATTGATCACTTTGTCCGACTCCAACCTTTTCCTGTCCTGAACGCGTTTCACTACAGACAGAGCAACAAAGTTTGTATGAGGTCGACCACTGAAATGTTGAGACACCCAATCTTGAAGTAGCAAACTATAAACTGCTATGTTACTTATCCGCCTCTAAACCAATACGGGGGATGGCCAAATGGTTAGCACGTGCGCGCTGTACCTTAAGGCCTGTCACTGAGTCAGCTGGCGTGGTTTCGATTCCCCGGTTGTACGTGACAAGGAGTAGGGTCGCCTGTCCAACCTCGCGGGTTTTCTTCGGGTACTCCGGTTTTCCCCCACTGCTAAAGACCGCTACGCGCAAGCGAATTATTGAAATACAATTTAACCATATGTTAGTCCCGAAATGACCTAGTTTGTGTCAAGTGGACGTTAAACCCTATTTCACTCTGAGCTTTTGGCGTGTGGTGCACGAAATTGTGGGTATCCCACTAAAAACATCAACGCTGATTGGTTAATCATAAGGTCAGAAGTCGCTCGTATGACCCCCGACATGACCTTCAACTACCATCGGTGAGATCATCATCTAGTGATGGCCATCTAAATCATAAAAAAACGAAACGAAATACAGATGTGTATTTTAATCGTATTGGTTTATGCTATCAGTAGCTCCCACAACCACATACCACCGTTTTATTCTTTAATTACTTCAATATAAAAATCGTTAATTCCAAGAAACAGCGCAAAAATAATTCGATAATGTGGAATAACTATTTATAGTATCATTGATAAATGAAAAGACAAAACATTGACTGTCGTTTGTCTGTCTGTTTATTTGTTTGTCTGTTCGGGGTTGGCCGCTACACTAGGTCTGCCCCGAGTCTGAAATTTGGGGTATAGGGGTAGCTCGGACCGGGGAGTAACATAGGCCAGGTGGCGTTAGTCTACCACTTCCGGTTTCGGGGTTATGACCCCCGAGCGAAGCCGGTCATTCTTCTAGTCATTGATAAATGAAAAGGCAAAACATTAAATAAATAATTTATTTTCCACAAACGGACATACTGTTATTCAATATGACACGTTATGTTTTACAGAAATGGATTGAATTTTGGTAATATGTTTTAATATTTGTTAGTAGCCTATGGGTGATCAAGGAAGATGGCTGGAATGGCGTTTTGCCGTATATTATTGCCGTGAATTAACTGATTTCTTTTTATATAATCGAAGTATTTGGATTGATTTTTACGATAACGAGAAGGTATTTGATAGTTTTGGGCAAATCTTCCTGACATGCACAAAGGGAGAAAAGGAGAGCGAGGAGGAGAAGACGTTATATTTTATCGTTAAGACATTTCCACAAATTGTCTTTGGATTGAAAACTCTATTTACCACGGGAGTTGGGTGACCGAATGGTTAAAAGGTGCACGTTGGATCACGTGGTCTGGCATGGAGTCTAGTAGCGTGGTTTCGATTCCCCGCTTGTACCTGACCAGCAGTAGGATCGTCTGTCAAACCCCTATGCGCAAGCGAATTATTGAAATAAAATTGAACATATGTTAGTCCCGATATGACCTAGCTTTTGTCGAGTGAACGTTACCCAACACGCCCATACTGTAACAGTAGGCCTAACCTGATCAATATTTTGGAGGGGGGGGGGGTCAGTAAGACCATTAATCCCACCCTTTCACCTTACACTCGGCGTTTACAAAACATAATATCTAAATTTAAAATCTAATTAAAAATCAAACATGAACCAAGAGTAACACAGAAAGCAAAAAAGAAATTGAAGGGTCTACATTCCCACTCCAACCCCACCACCCCAAACTTGAACCTTAATCGGGAAAAACTTATATAAAAGCTAGTCAGATGAAAAGTAAATACAGTTTTGATAAATGTGTACAAGATTCTATATATATATAAATCATCGTTTAATTTAGTTCGTATAAAAGGGACGCGGTAACACGATTTGTACTAAGTGAAATATTAGACTTAACGATGGGTGAATTTATTGTATGTCTATGTACTAGAATGAATGGTCGACAATTTTAGCAAACATCACAACTTATTAACAAGTTCTGCTTCGTTTGTACTGGATACCTGTCCAATAGTACGATAACTCTGGTCATTGTTACTAGAAATATTTCATAAATCTTAGACTCTATTCAAACCACAGCTGAAGTACTATTTTCTATGTAATACTATGAAACTATGACTCACCATGTATATAACCCTTTCCCTTGCGCTTTAAGCATGCTTTTGATAGATTTTGGGCTATACAACTATACATCACTATTATTATCTGAAGTATTATAATAAAACTAAATTACATCTTACCAGTTTCCACTGCATGTTTATAATATGGGTGATATATGTTCTTTATTCATATGTTCGAGAGTTTTCTGTAAATGTTTGTTATTATAACAACATTAAGAGTAATTATATCCAGCAGTTACCACACGATAAATCATGTTTCCTGTCTTGGAATCAATTGATATTGGTTAAATAATGACCATTTATTATCATTTAGCAATTAGCGGATGAAAAAATTTGAACATTCCGCAAAATGTAAAATCGTTACGCCATATATGCCGACAGTGAAAACAACATACAGTATTATTATGTCATCATGTATGGTATGCAATTAAAAAATATATATACTTTTGGAATAACGTCGCGGCCCGTCTTAAAATACAGAAGTGACGTAATCCTCTGATGTTGGCGTGCCATTATTTGAAGTATACTGTGTCAATTGTACATTTTTTTTTAAATACCAGATGAAATATTTGATTTTCGTGACGATTACGTTCAAATATAAGTGCGGGATAGTGTCTGTACTTTTAAGTTGTTTAATTATTTTGAGCAAGACATTGTATAATATATTGATAGAACACTCAGGACTAACGCCCCCGTGCATCAATATATTACTATATGTTTCACTCTCAACCGCTGAATAACAATATATTGACTGACGCAAGACTAATGTAGCACCATGTGCCTTTTTGTCAGACGTGGAGAGCGGGCCATCGATTCCGATCGCCACATCCTACGTACGACACATGCATCTTTTCTTACTACATATCTTAATAGCCTTGTGATCGTCTAGAATTTTCACTTGTTGTCTATGCTTCCCCTTCACGTTGTGTATTTACTTCTTACTGTTTTCTTAAGACGTTTGTTTTACCGGGAATAACAATGCAACAGTTCGTTTTTACATTTTATATATCATAGCCGGATACATGGATACAAGCATAGTTTAGATTACAATACTAAAGTCATTCTCAAACACTAGCCAGCCAATTGCTACATCTTTTTCCTCCTGGAATCAAGCTGCTGTCTGGCGATTGCTCACAAATATGATAGTTTTGTAGCTTGAGTTTTGACGTTCAATTATCCTATTGGTCAAATATGATGTAAATAATCAAAGAGATTGGCCAATTTAGGCTGATGACGTCGAAACCCATCCTTATATGGAAAATGGAAATACACCGAAGAAACTTCCCACAAGATATATGTTATCAACCTAGAATTGAATGTTTAGCACATTATGACTTTTTTTATATAACAATATGTCATTCATTCACTAAGTTGATTTAAGTACATACTATATATATGTGAATCTAATAACTTGCCAACGATATTAATTAATAAAATACAATGCCATCATTTTTCTCTATTCCTTGTCTATAAATTTGAAAACAATGTCGCAACGACAATATTTCTACACTAATCGATGAATATATACTAAGAAAAAAATTAGATTAATGATCGCGAACCATTTTTATTCACCTGATCCCCGTATAACTAAAATTGGTTATACCTAATTATTTATTAAATAATGGGAATACGTATAATACATAGACCCGTTTGTTTTTAAAATACAACATGGGTATATTTATTCCAGTAAGTAATGGACATTTAATGGAATGGCGGTGTAATGTTGTCCATCTGTTCTGAAACAACAGGTTTAATGAATACGGGCAAAGGCAAAACATTGCGCTATGAGGGACATTTTGCTCGGACAGCTAGCAATTAAATTTAAAACATGAGATATTTTACATGCAGCAAACCGTGTTTGCCCCATCTGAACGAATAGACATTGTTCCTTGCCAGGCTCTCCGCTCTGCCCCACTGACAATGATAAACCACGCTGGGAACTTTCTCCGCCAAGACAGGGGTCAAAGGCCAAACTGACAACGAGAAACCAAGTTGGAAAGTTCAGGGGAACCTTCGCGGCCAACTCAGAGGTCAAAGTTCAAACCACGAACCAGCGGACCGTTTTCGTGCACCGATTAGTTCAACACTGAGTACAAATACACAGAGCAAGACAAACATCAATCAATATAAATATACTGTAAATATCCGACAGATGGAGCTGCTTTACTCCTGGTGACGTGTCACAAACTCCCTATAGTCTCTCATGCCACCATTTCTTCTGCCATTTGTCAAGTGTTCCACTGTAATTATACAAACTGTAAAATAAATACAAATACAATCTGATTACAACACAGATCCTATTTCGTTTCGTTTATATAGTTCAAAATTTTGATTTACTTGTCTTTACTTCACTAGGATCTGGAAGAGTTGTTATATAAGCCGCGTTCTGGTTAATGTAAGGGATTAGCCAATGAAACGGTCTGTTACGGTGACTTCTTGGCGTGCGATGCACGGAACTGTGGGTAAACCAATAGGAACGCCAATGCTGGATGATTAATCAATGTCTGACGTCATAGGGTCAAAAACCGCTCGTATGACCCCTGACGCGACCTCCCACTACAACCGGTCAGATCTGCACGAAACGAAATATAGATCTATATTTTAATCAGGTTGATACTAGTAAATACATCCCCTTGTCCTCCCTATTCAATTATCAGAAATGAAATGAAATGAAATGAAATTGGGGTTAACGTCCTATTGTTCTGCTCCGTCTGGGTTAATGAAGACGGGCATACGTCATACAATGTGCTATGTGGGAAATTTTGCCCAGGCAGCGACACTATGGCCTACTCTTACATCGAATTCCAACTGTCAAGGGATCTTTTACGTGCACGCCAATGTGTACACTGGACCTTGGTTTTTCGTCCCATCCGAACGACTAGACAGCTGTCTTTGTCAGGCCCTCCGTCTTGTATCACTGA